CCTATAGAATGTTTCTTTATCTTCATCTTCAGCTTCATTAGTCGGTGCGTAAGCATTGGATGACTGTAAGTTTGGCATGTTTGCCATTAAATCGTGCAGTCATTATTCTTTCATTGATTGGATGCCACTCGATGAGATGTTTGTGTATACCTTTACTTACTTTACTTTTTTTACTGTTGCTTTTCAAGGACGACAAAGATAAAACAGAACCCATATGAAACACACGTGACATCAATCTTGCGTTCGCCTAATGATGTGACGTCACCATATTTGCCATGAAGCCTATATTACAGATATCCTTGGTTAAACTTAGGAAGGCGCCCAACGCTGAACTACATTATCCTGGTTAATGCCCACATGAATGCGTGACTGATTTCTATAGTTTCACACAGCAGGCAAACCATACAAGCACAGAGACGGGTGTATAGGTGGGAGAGCCCATGGGTCGGTGGGGAAACTGAGAGCCTATCTAACAATATTTTTTTTTCTGGCCGTCTCTACATCATAATCATCAGGTGCTTTGCCTCTCCATAATCTGCGATCTCCTGCAAGCATGTATCAGTTCGGGTGCCGACACACCTCCATGTCATGCAACAAGACTGTCAAGCATCTTCTCTCGTTGTCTTCCTCTATCCCTTTTTCCACAGATCTTTCTAGTGGTCACAAAATGTTATATTTTCCCTCTTCTCATAACATGGCCGAAAAATGATGACTGTCTCCTTCTGATGTCTGTGATAAGTTGTCTTCGGGCTCCCGCCTCTTTCAAAACCTCTTGGTTGCTCTTTTTGGCTGTCCAAGGTATTTTAAGCATTCTTCTGTAAAACCACATCTCTGAGGCCTCTAAAAATTGTTTGGCCTGCCTACCGATTGTCCAGGATTCACATCCATATGTTAAAACTGGATGTATGTAGCAAGCAAGAATTCTTTTTCTAACTCTCAATGACAAGGATTTATTGCACAAGATGTTTTTCATTTTATAAAATGCAGTTTTTGATTGTCCAATTCTGTTTCTTATTTCAGTTATGCATCTTCCATCTGATGTCATCCATGTGCCCAGATACTTAAATTTCTGCAATTGTCTAAAAATTACACCATTGACTTTTATTACACATTTAGGAATAATTTGTTTCTTTGATACCACCATTACTTCTGTCTTCCCATTATTCAAACTGAGGCCCATTCTTCCACTTTCTAACACCACAATGTCTATCATTTCCTGTAATTCTTTCTGACTTGTTGCTATCAAGACTGTGTCATCAGCATAACGTAAATTGTTTATATTGTGCCCACCAACCACAATTCCGGGCATATCAATTAAAGAACTCATTATATATTCACTGTATATTAAAAACAAATCAGGTGACAGTACACATCCTTGTCTTACGCCCCTCTTTATGCTTTGAAATGTACCTACAATGAAGGCTGAATAAAGTGGACCACTGCAGTCTTTAGGCATATACGAGGTAATGTCTCACCTTCTTCCACAATGTGACTGTGACGCCTGCTACGGTACGAATACTACGAGAAGTTTTTTATTAAACCGTTCGCTGTTGGAATCTAACATAAGTACTCGTCAAACGCATTCCTGAACTTCTAAGCCACATTGATGAGGATGATGACAACGGTGATGTCCAAATATAAATATTAAAAAGTGCGAATATTTCATGGTACAAAAAAAGCTCAACGTCAACAAACGGCTGCTTCCGGTGTGCAAGCGTCTGCTGGCGGTGGCAGGCAGTATGACACGGTAGCAGGATTTCAGGCGGGGCCCACTTCTCAGGTAGGCAGGTCTATCATCTCTCTCTTTCTCTCGGACTTGGGCGGAGTAGTCCGTGTAAACAAGTCTTTCACCTTTCTCCCTGGCTGTCGTTCTTATCAGGATCAATGCTTGTCATGTCGAAGCACGTCCACGCACGGATGTTTTTCTAGCAGTAACATTGTTCATTGTAACATTACCTAAATAAATTGTAACATTACCCGATACATTGATACATGAATATAATAGTTAATACTAATACATTTAGATCTATCAGTATCAGATCTGCATTTCCTGTCCTGTATTGTCTCGCCAGCTTGATTCCGGAGCCCCACAACTTCAGCCAAGAATCTGTGAGTTAGGTCCAGCTGTTCGGTCCGTTGTCGATCTTTTGGTTTGTATGTATATCATATACTGTACTGTATGGGTTATGTGTGTGACTCGTACAGCTACGCTTCAGTGAACAGGTAGCCACAGATAAATAATGGAACACATAGTCACTACTTTTTCCATTATTTATCTATGGCTACCTGTTCACTGAAGCGTAGCTATGAAGTCATTGTAGTGGCAAGTAGTGCAGTTGTGGTTACCTTTGTAAATATGATTTATGCCAGTAAATGCTGCAAGTTTCTCTATGAACTATCTTGGTCAGTCCTTCTGATATCTTATAGTATGTTACTGTGATAATTCATAATAATAGTCATATTTCAGAGTGTCAGTAAATGTCTCTGTTACTTTATTAAATCTTACTGTTGTATTACTGTTATTTAAAGTCAGCTGTTTGCATGTTATCATTACAGTCTAAGTTACAGATGACGAGTCTGTCTTTGTACAAGTGCTATCTGCGTTCTATGTACAAGTGATGTCTGTGTGCAAGTGCTGTCTGTGTTCTATGTACAAATGATGTCTGTGTTGTGTGTGCAAGTGCTGTCTGTGTTCTATGTGCAAGTGATGTCTGTGTTCTGTATACAAGTGCTGTCAGTTTTCTGTGTGCAAGTGCAGTCTGTTCTTTGTGCAAGTGCTGTCTGTGTTCTATGTACAAGTGATGTCTCTGTTCTATGTGCAAGTGCTGTCTGTTTTCTATGTGCAAGTGATGTCTGTGTTCTATGTACAAGTGATTTCTGTGTGCAAGTGCTGTCTGTGTTCTATGCACAAGTAATGTCTCTGTTCTATGTGCAAGTGCTGTCTGTGTTCCATGTGCAAGTGCTGACCGTGTTCTGTATACAAGTGCTGTCTGTTTTCTGTGTGCAAGTGACGTCTGTATGCAAGTGCTGTCTGTGTTCTGTGTACACGTGCTATCTGTTTACTGTGTACATGTGTTATCTTTTGTTCTGTGTACAATAGCTGACTGTGTTTTCTGTACCTGTACAAGTACTGTGTGATACTTATAATTTTAATATTACACAGCTGTTTTTTACGCTACAGCTACTGTCTGCAAGACACAAGTACTGTCTGTAAAACACAATTACTGTTTATGTGAGTCAAATACTGTCTATAAGACACAAGTACTGTGTGATACAAATACTGTCTGTCCAACATAAGTACTGTCTGTATCACAAAGTACTATCTGTACAACACAAGAACTCTCTGTATCATACATGTACTGTCTGTATCACACAAGTACTGTCGGCTATCCTCCGAATAACAGGCACATTTTATGGCGGCCAAAAACAGGGTCTCAGTCACATGTAAATTGCAGACATCCGGCGACCTAATTTGCGAACTTCTGGCGACCACCGCCTAGAGTATCTCCCACGCCGCTACGTGTGCGAGGATTGGGGCTAAACTAGATGGCTGGGACTCACAAGCAAAGCTGCAGGAGATACAGCAGCTGCTGCTCCTGAGTCCCAGCCATCTTGTTTAGCCCCAATCTACGCCGCACGCAGCGCCGTGGGAGATACTCTCGGCCTTGGCTGTAGTCGCCGGAAGTCCGCAAATTAAGCCGCCGAAAGTGCGCAATTGACATGTGACTGAGGCCCTGTTAGGGTGTTTTTGTGGCCGCCATAATATGTGGTCGTTATTTGGAGGATAGCTGTACTGTCTGTATCAGAAAAGTACTGTCTCTGTGACACAAGTACTGTCTGTATATCACAAATACTCTCTGTATATCACAAGTAGGGCTGTACCGAATAGGGATTTTCACTTTTCGGCCGAATACGAATAATGGGACCAACTATTCCGCCGAATACGAATAGTGTATCATCATCATCAGGTGCCTTGTCGACTGGCGTGGGCCTTGCCACAATCTGCGATCTCCTGCAGCATGTATTAGTTCGTGTGCTGACACACCTCCATGCCATGCAACAAGACTGTCAAGAATCTTCTCTTGTTGTCTTCCTCTATCCCTCCTTCCACATATCTTTCCAGTGGTCACCACATGTTTCATTTTCCCTCTTCTCATAACATGGCCGAAAAATGATGTCTCCGATGTCTGTGATAAGTTGTCTTTGGGCTCCCGCCTCTTTCAAAACCTCTTGGTTGCTTTTTATGGCTGTCCAAGGTATTTTCAGCATTGTTCTGTAAAACCACATCTCTGAGGCCTCCCTACCGATTGCCCAGGACTCACAGCCATATGTTAAAACTGGATGCTGTACCAAGCAACCGGGTCGCAGTTGCCCACGCTACGACAGACTTAGGCATCAGCAACTATTATGTTAATAAGAGAGTTATTTAAGTCTATCAAAGTATATGCAGAAACAGGTGTAAGGTAACCACTATTCGTATTTGGCCCGACCGCAAGTATTCAGCCGAATACTAAATAGTTATTAGGTCCACTATTCGGCCCTGAAGCGAATTCAAAGCGAATATTCAGTACAGCCCTAATCACAAGTACTTCTGTATCACACAGTACTATTTAAACCACTTCTGCCGTTAAGCGTCGTGGGGAGGAATAATTTGCGATCCAGTGCACATTGGCTGCCACTGGCTATTGTCATGCCGTGAAGGCATAGAGTGTCTTTAATGTTGTTGATCCATATTTTCTGCAGCCGTCCTCTTGCTCTTGTAGCTGATCTTCTGAGATATAGTGCTTGTGATGGTATTTGATCTTGCTGCATTCTAACGAGATGGCCAAACCACTTGATCTGCTGTTTCTCGATGAAGTACTGAATGTATCACACAAGTACTGTCTGTGTCACATAATTACTATCTCTGCACTGTCTGTTCGATACAAGCAGTTGTCCTTATATTACTGTATGTCCTTCATTTGCAGGTGTGAATACTTATTCAACAACAACGCACAAAGATGAACTTATTTCTAGGAGGCTTTTACGTGCTGGCCGTCATTTGTGCCTTGCTGTACCTGGCAACGCGAGCTGCAGTGCCAGCAGTCAACGATGTGGCCTTCAGCATCTTCCAGCGAACATATTTGACTGTCTATCTATTAGCCATGGGTGAGCGCTACATCTCTATTCCCCTAATTGACATTCTTTTCCCTTGAGAGTTCTAACTTCACAGCACACAGGCACCTCATATTTGCCCCATAATCTGTGCCAGCGAATACCACGCAGAATGTCTATCCATATACCTTGTGACATAACACACAGACTGCTGTCTCTGCAAAGCTAATAGCATAGACACGCATTAAATGCGTTTAGGCAGCCACCAGAAGTGCTAACACAAGAGTTTGGCCTTAGAAATGCTGCAGTTTATTGTCGTAAGCAGCACTTACAACAGATCAGTAGTCACACATGTAATTAACCACATAAGGCAGCATTATTTCTGTGGCGACAGGCCACTCACAACTTTTTAAATCTGCAGTTCGCAACACAAATCCTGCTGGGCATACAATTAAGTGATATGTACATCTATATATATAAAAATCAATGTTTGTATGTTTGTTTATGATCTATAGACTCGGAAACTACTGAACCGATTTAGCTGAAATTTTCAGGATATGTTTGTTTTGATACCAGATTTTTACCCTTCATGGTTTGAAATTATACCTGTTATTGTTAGAGACAGGTGACTACATTTGTTTGGAAAATTTTCGAAACTAATATTTCCATTTTAGTGACATTCAATGAAAGCCACGTTTGTAAATGCGCATGTGCAGTCGGGATGCTCCATTTGTCAAACCATTCGCCGGCGTGATGCAACAAACCAAACTATCTCTATATTGCTGATTGCGACGTTAACCGTATTTGACATGGTTTCTATTTTCTTTCTTTTCAAACAACCTTCGATAAGTTAGAGAGTAGTCGGTGGATTTGATTTGAGAAGGGGGGGGGGGGGGGCGATCAAAGACTATGTTTGCGCAGACAAAGATTGCAACATTTACCGTGTTAGACACGTAGGATTTCTATTATTGTGCCGTTTCAACAATACTTGAAGTTTATATCTGGGATATCTGTTTATGAGAAACAATTGCCTGCGGTTTTGAGCTGTGTTAGAATCGGGACACACATCTTACATAGTTTTGTTCTCTTTTCGTTGATTGGATGAAGTTGGCCGAGTGCTTAGTACACTGGGTTCCCGTGCAGGAGCCTAAGGTTCAAATCCCCAGTACTTCTGTTTTTATTTTAACCCGGGGGGCAAAATAAAACCCAGACCTGCACTGTCATGGCGACAGAAATAGCCATGTGGCCATAAATACTAAAATAAAAGTACAGGTATGTGGGTAAACCAGTTGATAATTAAATTTGACCATTTCGCATACTTATGATTTCATTTCAAACTTTCCGATTGCATGGTTAAGCTGAATTTTCATAGATTTCCATTTATTTTCATTTCGATTTAATTATTTTTTCTGACATTGGGTTGGAATTAGGTTGTGTTGCTTATCATAGCGTTCTCTTCCTAATTATGGTGTATTTTTCCTGTTTTCGTTGCATATTTCTTTGTTTTTTTCTCCAAACTACTTCGATGAAGGAAAGAGTAGTCGGTGAATTCGGGGGGTGGGGTAACATAAATTGTCAACTGAGAGAGCTTTAAGTCACAGTAACTGCCTTACCAACTCAAAGTAGCAGTAGTAGTAGTTGTTGTGGTTGGGCGGTTACACCGTAGTGCTGTCATGTCGAAGACCGCCGGTAAGGTGATGGCATTTTTTTGTCAAGGAGCGAAATTACACATCCTAACCTGACCAGTCCATGGCGACAGCATTAACCTTTGCAGCGCCAAATCCTCTGACTCATGACTCCATGTCTACTCCGATGGTAAAACAAATAGCAGTGACATTATTTTAGTTATTGTGGTGGTGGTATTAGTAGTACTGGTACTTGAAGGATAGTGTGGTAAATATTACACTAGACGCATTTACTACTCATTACAATTCCTGCTCCCTATTTTAGTCCGGATGGACAGGGGTATCAAGGTCGGGTGATGACTTTCAAATCCTTCGATGAGGGAGAGAGAGAGCAGTATTCGTGAATGGGGGAGGAAAGGGGGTGATGACAGAAATTGTTAATTTAAAGAGCTTAACGAATGATTTTAAAGTGTTCATTTCTTAATTTGTTTATATTTTACTAACGCTACCTCCGCTATTCTCATTTTTTTAAGGACTTACTTGGTTATTTACAAATACAGCTTTAGCATTTGATAAACAAATAACCATTTTTTCTTTACTGTGCTAATATAACTATTTAATTGAACACTAATATAAAGACACAATTATATGTTGCGTGTTCTAAAGTGGTAAACTAGACTATCTCTATATCTGTGCAGAGAATGATTGCGACATTAGCTATAAAAGACACGTGCGATTTCTATCGTCTTTCTTTTCCAAAAGCCTTTGATGAAGGAGGGAGTAGTAGGTGGATTTGGGAGGGGGCATCAAAGACTATCTCTGTATGTGCGCAAACAATGATTGCGACTGTAACCATATTAGACACGTGTGATTTCTATTTTCTTTCTTTCCATTTAGCCAAACTATGCCACAGCAATGCCTGGCTGGGTACAGCTAGTATTGTTTAAAATGTGTATGTACAAATTTGTTTTGTATATCACATTGTATCTAATTGTATTGCAGCGGGAGATTGGTTGCAAGGGCCACACGTGTACGCCTTGTACGAGAGCTATGGGATGACTACAGACCAAATTGATATTCTGTTTGTTGCTGGCTTCGGATCCAGCATGTTTGTGGGAACTATCGTTGGCTCCTTCGCAGATAAATAGTGAGTGTCTTTATCATGTCTGCCTTTGTGCATCAAGACAGCTACATGCCGGTAGACATTAGAGCTCATCTGATTCTAAAACATCACATTTCATCCTGTCATAAGTATCACATCGTCATGGATGTCACCCGGTAAAAGATGTCATGCTATCATAGATATGCTGTCATAGATGTCACCCTGTCATAGATGTCACCCTATCAAATATATGCTCTCATAGATGTCACCCTCCCATAGATATCACCCTCCCATAGATGTCACCCTTCCATAGATGTCACCTTGTCACAGATGTAACCCTGTCATAGATATCACCATGTCATAAATATTCTGTCGTAGATGTCACCCCATCATAGATCTGCTGTCATATGTGTTGCCGTGTCATAGATATGCTGTCATAGATGTCACCCTGTCATAAATATGCTGTCATAGATGTCACCCTGTCATAGATATTCTGTCATAGATGTTGCCCTCTCATAGATATGCTGTCATAGATGTCACTCTGTCATAGATATGCTGTAATAGATGTCACCCTGTCATAGATATGCTGTCATAGATGTCACCCTGTCATAGATGTCACCCTGTCATAGATATGCTGTTATAGATGTCACCCCATCATAGATCTGCTGTCATAGATGTTGCCCTGTCATAGATGTTGCCCTGTCATAGATATGCTGTCATAGACATGCTGTCATAGATATCACCCTTTCATAGATTTGCTGTCATAGATGTCACCTTGTCATAGATATGCTGTCATAGATGTTGCCCTGTTATAGATTTTACCTTGCTATAGATACGCTGTCAGCCTGTCATAGATATCGCCCTGTCATAGATGTCACCCTGTCATAGATATGCTGTCAGAGATGTAAATCTGTCATAGATAGCAACCTGACATAGATAGTCTATCATAGATGTTACCCTGTCATAGATGTTGCCCTGTCACTGATGTTATCCTGTCATTGATATCACCGTCATAGATATGCTGTCAGAGATGTCAACCTGTCATAGATAGCACCCTCTCATAGATATACTGTCTTGGATGTCATCCTGTCATAGATATGCTGTCAGAGATGTCACCACCCTGTCATAGGTATGCTGTCATAGATGTCACCCTTTCATAGATATGCTGTCATAGAAGTTGCCCTATCATAGATATGCTGTCACAGGTGTCACCCTGTCATAGATATGCTGTCATAGATGGCACTCTGTCATAGAAATGCTGTCAGATGTCACCCTGTCATAGATATGCTGTCACAGGTGTCACCCTGTTACAGATATGCTGTCAACCTGTCATAGATATCACCCTGTCATAGATGTCACCCTGTCATAGATATGTTGTCATAGATGTCGCCCTATCAATGATATGCTGTTATAGATGTCACCCTGTGGTATACACAATTGAGTCTGACAAACCAGGGATCCACACATGGCTGCACAGCTACCAGAATACCTCCACCATCTAAGGCTGATATACTGGGCTGATGACCGGTCCATTATACTGATCACTATGTTGATTGACTGCCAGGACAATGGCTTGAGAGACCATCCAGCAATCATTATGTTGATTGACTGCCAGGACCACGACCTGAGAGACCATCCAGCAATCATTATGTTGATTGATTGCCAGGACCATGGTCTGAAAGACCATCCATCAATCATTATGTTGATTGACTGCTAGGACCATGGCCTGAAAGACCATCCATCAATCATTATGTTGATTGACTGCCAGGACCATGGCCTGAAAGACCATCCATCAATCATTATGTTGATTGACTGCCAGGACCTGGGCAGAGAGACCATCCATCAATCATCATGTTGATTGACTGCTAAATCATAATGCCTTTATTACTGCTGTAATGCAGTGCCAGATGTTGCCTGCCAATGCAAAGGTCTTGGGCTTGAATCTGCATCAGGTCAGATCTTTAGAATGGTCATGGGTAGTAAAGGTAGCCGACTTGATGATGATCACAGCATAGTTTCTGTTCTTTTCTATCCCACAAACATTTTGATGTGGCAGTAGACTGTATGACCAGGGGACTGTAGTTATTTGATGTGTGTTGGTGGTAAAATAGAAAACCAAAATAATGTCAACAGATAAAACGGCTGTCACCCCAAAAAAAAAAAAAATGATGAAGAAATTGAAAATGTCACAAACTTTGAATATCTAGGCTCTATAATAAACAGCAGTGTAGACTGTTTGCCAGAAATTAAAAGGAGGATGGCTATATCAATGCAAAGATTGACAACCTTAAAAGTCTATGGTTAAGCACCAGCAAGGAGATCAAAATTAGAATTTTGAGAGCATGCATCTTCCCTGTGACTATATTCGGATGTGATTCTCAGAATATCTTGGACAGAGAAGAGGAGAAATACTGACATCTTGAAAGATCTGAACATCAAGGAAGATTGGCTAATAAACAGCATCCTGTCTCAGAAGTTGAAATATTTTGGTCATATCAAGCGCCATGACGGATTGGAAAAATTATAGCAGAAGGCATGGTACCAGGGAGGAGGGGCAGGGGCCGACCGACACGAAGATGGGCACAGGATATAAGTCTCACCTTGAGTATGAAAGTACATGAGGCGGGAGAATTGACGAGAGACTGAGTTTCTTTCGGGCAGACTGTGATGAGAGCGACGTTCTGCAAAGGACCTGCTACATGATGATGATGCTGATAGAATTCCTGAGTATGCTAACTGTTTCCTGGTACATGTTTCAGTGGCAGACGCACCAACTGTATTCTCTACGGAGTGTTGTATGGGGCTGCCTGCATAACGAAGGTAAGTCAGAGTCAGCTTCAGATTGTCAGGGTGGCTTGTGTCCCACACAACCATCCTGACCTTTCTGGGGTTTTTGTTGGTCTCTGTCTCTCTCTGTGTCTCTCTCTCTCACACGCACGCACACATGTACACACACACACCACATGCACCATCCACCCACATATGCACCACCCACTCTCTCTCACACACACACCATATGCACCATCCGCCCACACATGCACCACCCACTCTCTCTCACACACACACAACTAGCCTTTCTCTTGTTTTTCTCTTTCCCACACAAAACCAGCATGTCCATTGTGTGTTTTGTGTGTGTCACACACACGACCTCCTTGTCCCTTGTTTTCCTGTCTTACACAAAACCATCTCATCCCCCATTATTCTCATTCCCACACACTTTGTTCTTTGTTCTTCTCTATCACACACAGCCATCATGTCTCTTGTTCTTTTCTATCCCAGGCACAACCATACTATTTCCTGTTCTTGTGTGTCTCCCACACATCTTATCTCCTGTTCTTCTCTATCCCACACAACTGTGTACCTCTCCTACCTGCATCCCCATGTTACTCTTCTCTGAGGGTTCTTATGTATGTCCTTATGTTCCTCTACTGTGTATGTCCTCATGATCCTCTACTGTGCATGTCCTTATGTTGCTATGCTGTGCAAGTCCTCATGTTCCTCTGCTGTGTATGTCCTTATGTTCCTCTACTGTGTATGTCCTCATGTTCCTCTACTGTGTATGTCCTCTACTGTGTATGTCCTCATGTTCCTCTACTGTGTATGTCCTGTAATCTTGACCTGTCCGTGAGCACAATAAGGTGTGTTTGTGTGAATCTTGTCTTCTCTGTTAGCACAATTAGGTAATAATTTGCAAATCTTGACCTGTCTATGAGCAGAATAAGGTGAGAATTTGTGAATCTTGACTTGTTTATGAGCAAAGTAAGGTGTGTCTAGAACTAAGATTTGCTTATATTGGTGTCTAGAGCTAAGACATAGGCACTGGTGTCTGGAGCTACAAATTCTAGACCCTGGTGTCGCCAGTTGACTCCTATGTTGGTTTTTCCTGTTTGCTTTCCACAGCGTGGATTCGACAGCAACCTGCTGGGCAGCATCTTCAGCCTTGGGGTCCTTGGCAACTCTGTGGTGGCCATCCTGGCAGGGCTGGTGGCCCAGAAGTTTGCAGACATGTTTGGCTACGTGTAAGTTTCCTTCTGACTTGTTGTTGCACCTGTGCCCACACATATACACCCCTGTACACATTCATATATTCATACCCCGATACACACTCATACACCGCCATACACATTCATGCATCGCCCCCTGTCTACACACTCGTACACCGTCCATACACACCCATAGACCCCCAAACACACTCATACACTTCCAGACACGCTCACATACCCGCAGACACACCCATAACCCCCATACACATTCATAAACCCCCATACACATTCATACACCCACATACACATTCATAGATCCCCATAAACATTCATACACCCCTATACACATTCATAGATCCCCATACACATTTATACACATTCATAGATCCCCATACATATTCATATACTCCCATACAAATTTGTACGCCTCCATACACATTCATAGACTCCCATACACACTAATAGATTCCCGTACACATTCATACACTCCCATTTGTGGCAAACTTTGTTATTTCCAGGACACGATTTGATGTGTTCCTGTGGCAGATTGTTATTTCCAGGGCATCTTATGTTGTGTCCCTGTGCTTTTTTTTTTTTTTTTATCCAGAAACCATGAGCTGTAAACCCTTCAGCTGAGTACTATGGATATTGCAACCCTTCACACTTGATTCCATGATAGATTCCATAAATCTAGGAAATATGTGGCTTTTCTGCCAACCCTCCAGTAAACACGGACCACAAGAAGTTTGTCTCCCAGTCGCCGCACATTTGGTTTAACCAGCTTAGCTAGCGTGCCGGGTGTCCCTGTGCTAAACTGTTTGATATATTCAAGGCGCCATTTGATGTGTCCCTCTAGTAAACTGTTTGATATTTCCAGGGTACTATTTGTTGTGTCCCTGTGGCAAACTCTGATATCTCCAGGGAACTGTTTGATATGTCCCTGTGGCAAACTCTGATGTTTCCAGGGAACTGTTTGATATGTCCCTGTGGCAAGCTCTGATATTTCCAGGCTGCTGATGTCTACACAGTGTGGGCTGACATCTACAGTTTGGGCTGACATCTACATAGTGTGGGCTGACATCTACACAGTGTGGGCTGACATCTACACAGTGTGGGCTGACATCTACACAGTGTGGGATGACGTCTACACAGTGTGGGCTGACATCTACACAGTGTAGGCTGACATCTACATAGTGTGGGCTGACGTCTACATAGTGTGGGCTGACATCTACAGTGTGGGCTGACATCTACATAGTGTGGGCTGACGTCTACACAGTGTGGGCTGACATCTATACAGTGTGGGCTGACGTCTACACAGTGTGGGATGACATCTACACAGTGTGGGCTGACATCTACATAGTGTGGGCTGATGTCTACACAGTGTGGGCTGACATCTACACAGTGTGGGTTGATGTCTACACAGTGTGGGATGATGTCTACACAGTGTGGGCTGATGTCTACATAGTGTGGGATGACATCTACACAGTGTGGGCTGATGTCTACACAGTGTGGGATGATGTCTACACAGTGTGGGCTGACATCTATACAGTGTGGGCTGACATCTATACAGTGTGGGCTGACATCTATACAGTGTGGGCTGACATCTATTCAGTGTGGGCTGACATCTACACAGTGTGGGCTGACATCTATACAGTGTGGGCTGATGTCTACATAGTGTGGGCTGACTTCTACACAGTGTGGGCTGATGTCTACACAGTGTGGGCTGATGTCTACACAGTGTGGGCTGATGTCTACACAGTGTGGGCTGACATCTATACAGTGTGGGCTGATGTCTACACAGTGTGGGCTGACGTCTACACAGTGTGGGCTGACGTCTACACAGTGTGGGCTGATGTCTACACAGTGTGGGCTGACATCTGCACAGTGTGGGCTGACATCTGCACAGTGTGTGCTGACATCTACACAGTGTGGGCTGATGTCTACACAGTGTGGGCTGATGTCTACACAGTGTGGGCTGATGTCTACACTGTGTGGGCTGATGTCTACACAGTGTGGGCTGATGTCTACACACTGTGGGCTGACGTCTTCACAGTGTGGGCTGACATCTACACAGTGTGGGCTGATGTCTACACAGTGTGGGCTGACATCTACACAGTGTGGGCTGATGTCTACACAGTGTGGGCTGATGTCTATACAGTGTGGACTGACATCTACACAGTGTGGGCTGGCGTCTACACAGTGTGGGCTGACGTCTACACAGTGTGGGCTGACATCTATACAGTGTGGGCTGACATCTGTATCTGTCATTGCTCCAGATCACATGTGAACACAGAGATAATGACAACGTACTGTACATCTAAGTTTGAGATAATCTGACATATAACATACTTTCTTTATCTGATGTGACCTGTTCTCAGATCATAAAGTCATGTGTCTGGGCCTCATCCAGTCACTGTTTGAGGGAGCCATGTACTGTTTCGTCCTAGAGTGGACTCCATCTCTTAGCGCTGAGTACAAGCCCAAAGTGGGGGCCCCTGGGCAACTAGAGGAGGTGCATGCAGACATCCCACATGGTCACATCTTTGCTGCTTTCATGGTGAGTCCTGGTGGCTGCATTGTAATAAGTGTGTGAATGTGTGGAGGTGAGAGAGAAAGAGACTAAGACAAGTGGTGTAGATGCATGTACACATGCCACAACTTTTGGCTGCAGTGAAATAACTGTCTGGATATTGTGTAGGTAAATGTGTGTGAAAGAGGGAGAGACTTGGGCAGGTGAAAGAGATGCATGCAAACATCCAACACAATGACATCTTTGTCACCTTTATCATGAGTCCTGGCTGCAGCATATTGTGTTATTTTAATCCTAGGTCTCACTGATGATTGGCTCGTCAGTGTTCAAACTTCTCTGCAAGTTCACCTCAGTGGAGTCATTCATGAGGTGAGCAACATTTGGTATCTGCAAACTAATCTACCATGATATGTCATATTGTATATGTGAATCTTTTGTGGTATGTCTTGTTGTAGAAGTGAACCTTCTGTGGTATGTGATGTTGTAGAAGTGAATCTGCTGTTGTATGTCATGTTGTAGAAGTGAATCTATCATGGTATGTCATGTTGTGTAAGTGAATCTACCATGGTATGTCATGTTGTATAAGTGAATCTACCAGGAGGCTGTGTTAGCGCAGTTGATAGGACACCCCTTTCAATTCCAGCTGTGACTCGCTGCAGCCCACTGCCGGTGTTTGAAACCCGGGCGGTTCCCGGGTTGACCCAGCCTCTAGGTAATGGGTACCAGAGTTAACACTCTAGGGTAAATGGAGGAACGTACCTGTAGCTACGGAGTTGCATGAGGATGGCGACACAGATGGACAGTTTCTTATCAGCTGTCTGTACTGGTGGCAGAGCACATGGTTTGTAACCATCTGCAGTGATTGATGCTGGTTCACATCTCCCAAATTTTTTGTTTTTTTGTTTTTTGTTTTTTTGTTTTTTGACATGGTGTGTGATGTTGTTTAAGTGAATCTATTTGTGTATGTGATGTTGTATAAGTGAATCTACTGTGGTATGTCAGATTGTATGGGTGAATCTACAATATAATGTCATGTTGTATAAGTGAATCTATCTTATCTCTACAGGGGTGTGTTGTTTGTAGCAGCTCTCAGTCTGATGACACCTATTATATTTAAAGGAGTGAGTTTTTCCTTTGTTTTCTGACTATATAAATTGGCAACACCATTAGATAGCCTAGGAATATTCAAAGAACCATTAGATGGCCTAGGAACATTCATAGAACCCTTAGGTAGTATAGGAACATTTAAAGAACCATTAGGCAGCCTAGTAACATATATAGAACCATTAGGTAGCATAAGAACATTCATAGAACCATTAGATAGCCTAGGAACATTCATAGAACTATAACTCAGCCTAGTAACACATATAGAACGATTAGGAAGCATAGGAACATTCATAGAACTGTAAGGCAGCCTAGGAACATTCATAGAACTATAAGGCAGCCTAGTAACATATATAGAACCATTAGGTAGCCTAGTAACATATATAGAACTATAAGGCAACTTAGTAACATATATAGAACCATTAAGTAACCTAGGAACAACCATAGAACCTTAAGGTAGCCTAAGAACATTCATAGAACCATTAGATAGCCTAGGAACATTCATAGAACTATAAGGCAGCCTAGTAACATATAAAGAACCATTAGATAGCCTAGGAACATTCATAGAACCATTTGGTAGCCTTGGAACATTCATAGAACCATTAGGTAGCATTGGAACAGTTATAGAACCATTAGATAGCCTAGGAGCATTCATAGAACCATTAGATAGCCTAGGAACATTCATAGAACCATTAGCTAGCCTTGGAACATTGATAGAACTATTGGATAGCCTAGGAACATTCATAGAACCATTAGGTAGCCTTGGAACAGTTATAGAACCATTAGATAGTCTAGGAACATTTCATAGAACTGTTTGGTAGATAGGAACATTCATCCAATATCACCTCAAATAGCTATAAGATAGACTAGTATCACTTATACAGCTATAAGATAGACCAGTACCACTCATACAGCTATTAGATAGACTAGAATCATTAGAACTTCCATTAGATGATTGCACTCATCACCAGTCTCACTAACATGAATTGAACCATTGACAGAGACATTTGCAAGACTAGAACCATTGAGATAGTCATGGACAAGACTTAAACCATTGACAGATGCACTTACAAGACTTGAATCATTGACAGAGTCAGGGACAAGACCTGAACCACTGAAAGAGTCATTAGCAAGTTTTAAACCAGTGACATAGTCATTAGCAAGGCTTGGAAGCATTGACCCAATCATTAGCAAGGCCTGAATTATTGAATCAGTCACTGGTAAGACTTCAATCATTTACAGAGTCACTGACAGGGCCTGGACCATTGACAGAATCACTAGCAAGACCTGAACTTATGACTTAGTCACTAGCAAGTCTGAACCATTGACAGAGTCACTAGTAAGACTTGAGTTCTTGATGGAACTTGTCAAGACTGGAGTCATTGATCAACTTAGTTCCCAGGTGGTTGATGTCTGTGTGAAAGTGAAAATCCAAGATAAGAAGAGAATAAAAATAGTCTTTTAAGATGGTGCAAATTGTCGGATTGTGGCATTGAATTAAATTTTTAAAAATAAGTAATTGAAAGCAAGATGAATAACTTCATGCAAAATAATACTGGCAGTTTCAGACCTTTCGGTATGAGAGATCCCATATTACATAGAAAGTGATCCTTTGTAAGCAGTTAAGGGTATTGTCAGGCCTGTTTGATGACAGTGTGAGACCGGAACCCCTGGATGTGTGAGTAGAACATGTAGCAAGATGTTGACCAAGGGCTGTGTTTGAATCCTTGAGTGAATAGACATGTAGCAAGATGTTGACCAAGGACTGTGTTTAAATCCTTGACAGGACCAGCTGATCATCTTCATTGGTTTCCTGGTGTTTGAGACCTGCGTGGGCATCTTTTGGCCATCCATGGGCACCATGAGGGGCAGATATGTGGCTGAGGAGAGTGAGTCATGTTTGTGTGTACCTTAGTGTCAGCATTGAGTGTCTGTACCTCAGTGTCAGCGTTGAGTGTCTGTATTTAATTATCAGCATTCAGTGTTTGTATCTCACTGTCAACATACAGTATCTCTATCTCACTGTCAACATTCAGTATCTGTATCTCACTGTCAACATTCAGTATCTGTATCTCACTGTCAACATTCAGTATCTGTATCTCACTGTCAACATACAATATATGTATTTCACTGTCAACATTCAGTATCTGTATCTCACTGTTAACATTCAGTATCTTTATCTCACTGTCAACATTCAGTATCTATACCTCACTGTCAACATACAGTATCTCTGTCTCACTGTCAACATTCAGTATCTGTATCTCACTATCAACATTCAGTATCTGTATCTCACTGTCAACATTCAGTTTCTTTATCTCACTGTCAACATTCAGTGTCTGTCTTTCATCATCAACATTCAATGTCTGTATTTCACTGTCAGCATCTGTATTTCATTGTCAACATTCAGTGTTTATATCTCATTGTGCCTCACTGTGAGATATTGACACAATTCTGTGCTTGTCTTCCAGCCAGGGCAACCACCATGAACATTTTCCGTGTGCCACTGAACTTTATTGTGGTGATCATATTGTTACAGGTGAGAGCCTCTTGTTTGTTGATTCTCTCACACCGCTTGTCTTTTATATATAGCTTCTCAGATGACTGACAGTGTGCCAGGTGGTGCACATTGACTCTGACAGTGTGCCAAGTGGTGCACATTGACTCTGACAGTGAGCCAACTGGTGCACACTTACATGACAGTGAACCAAGTGGTGCACATTGACTCTGACAGTGAGCCAACTGGTGCACACTTACATGACAGTGAGCTAAGTGGTGCACACTTACATGACAGTGAGCCAACTGGTGCACACTTACATGACAGTGAACCAAGTGGTGCACACTTACATGACATTGAGCTAAGTGGTGCACACTTACATGACAGTGAGCTAAGTGGTGCACACTTACATGACAGTGAGCTAAGTGGTGCACACTTACATGACAGTGAGCCAAGTGGTGCACACTTACATGACAGTGAGCTAAGTGGTGCACACTTACATGACAGTGAGCTAAGTGGTGCACACTTACATGACAGTGAGCTAAGTGGTGCACACTTACATGACAGTGAGCTAAGTGGTGCACACTTACATGACAGTGAGCCAAGTGGTGCACACTTACATGACAGTGTGCCAAGTGGTGCACATTGACTCTGACAGTGAGCCAAGTGGTGCACATTGACTCTGACAATGTGCCAAGTGGTGCACATTGACTCTGACAGTGTGCCAAGTGGTTCACACTTACATGACAGTGAACCAAGTGGTGCACACTGATTATGACAGTGAGCTAAGTGGTGCACACTGACTCTGACAGTGAACCAAGTGGTGACTCTGACAGTGAGCCAAGTGGTGCAAATTGACTCTTATACTGAGCCAAGTGGTGTACATTGGCTCTGACAGTGAGCCAAGTGGTGCAAATTGACTCTGACAGTGAGCCAGGTGGTGCACATTGACTCGGACAAAGAGCTAAGTGTGCACACTGACTCTGACAGTGAGCCAAGTGGTGTCGATGAAACTTAGCAGTGAAATATTTTTGTCACAGTTCTAGTTTATTTTGTTAGTCATATCTGACCTAACATTTACTGTCTGTATAATATACATAACACAGTCATCATAAAAAACATGCATCAGCTAAAATTCAATGTACCCATTGATTTTTGCATTTCAATGATATCTGTCTTAAGCTCATTGATTGCCTTGACACATTGTGTACACATAAATCATTGATTGTCTAAATATCTGGTTTATTCATCACCCATTGATTGGCTAGATAAGTATATTTTTCACCCAGTGATAGATCATGGACTTGTTTGCTGACACAAAGCTGTATCAACAATGTCCCATTGTGGTATCTACAGGTCACTGATACACACACACGTGTGTGCATGTACACAGGCATGAACACACACTTCTAGGGCAGCTGAAACTGTTCCAGTTAGCTGTTGTTTGGCACATAATGCACCAGTTGCTCGTCCACTTACTCTGGCTGGTTCACACAGAATGCACTTACCAGTTGCTCTTGTGCACTTACTCTGGCTGGTTCACACAGAATGCACTTACCAGTTGCTTTTGTCCATTTACCCTGGCTGGTTCACACAGAATGCACTTACCAGTTGCTCTTGTGCACTTACTCTGGCTGGTTTAGACAGAGTGGACTCACCACTTGCTCTTGTCCACTTACCCTGGCTGGTTTACACAGAATGCACTTACCAGTTGCTCTTGTCCACTTTCCCTAGCTGGTTCACACAGAGTGGACTCACCAGTTGCTCTTGTCTCACCCCCATCTATCTGGCCAAGCCATGAAGATATTTATCTGTTTACGTTCCCCTAGCTCTTTCCTTCAGTCTTTCCAAGTTATCAAGTCCCTTGCTTCTCAGAACATGCCCCCCGCCCCCTTCACAATTCACATCTGTATTGAGGACAGTCTCACTGGTTTTTGTGATTCTTTCTGCATTCTTCTCAGAAACCACATCTCTGCCATCATCATCAAGTGCCTTGCCAACTGGAATGGGCGATCATGCCTCTCCACAATCTGCAATCCGCAACTGCATTTATCAGTTCGTGTGTTGACACTCCTCCATGCCTTGCCAGAAGACTGTCAAGAATCTTCTCACACTGCCCTTCTCTGTCTCGCTTTCCACAGATTGTTCCAGTGGTCACAACATGTTCCATTTTCCATCTTCTCATAACATGACCAAAAAATGATGACTGTGATAAGTTGTCTTTGAGCAGTCACCTCTTTCAAAACATCTAGTTTGCTCTTCTCAGCTGTTCAAGGAATTCTAAGGATTGTTGTGAAAAAACCACATCTCCGGGGCCTCAAGATATTACGCCTCTGTCACAAGTAAATATTTTCCAGCTTGTCTGTTGATTGCCCATTTTTTGCAGGCATTTGGCAATAGAGATTCTCTGTAGTGTTCTATCACTGTTGTTCTCATTGCGGTCACATCTTGTTTTCAGCGATGTCTTTTGCATCTTGCTAAAAGCCACCCTTAGCTGTAACAGTTCTTGTTAAAATCTCTGCAAAGTGTCTGGTGTCATATGTTATGTCATTCATTCATTCATTATCCTTTTGTGCCATTATATAATTGTTGTTTTCACGTAGGACTCGCAGTCTGTTTGTCTATTCCATTCTATCCTGTGCAAGCAATTTAGTATCCTGGACTGAATCCAGTCCAACAACATTGTCTTCTCTCATCAACATTCCTTTTAGGGTTTCGTTTGGGTGTCCTTGATTTCTTAATCCATGTTTTTCACTTTGTGTGTACGTCATTATGTGCATATCATAAAAAGTAAAGGACCCTTTTCCAAACCTTCAAGCATATTGGGTATATAGGGCTAGACCTATATTTTATAGACCAAATGGCACTTGGTGGATGATGTGGTTAGCATTATGCCAGCTGCCTTTACTTTCCAGGGCTGTACCTAGTAGCCACTCAAGGCTGGGACTACTTGGGAGGTCATTTAAAAAAAAATCCAGCCTCTGTGTGGACCCAAACCATGACCTTACGATCCGCAGGTGAGCGTCTAGCCGCTAGACCACAGTGGCTGCCATATGCATATCATGGCTGCAGTAAAAATAAATAACCAAAACAGAGGTTCAGCTCCATCTCCTGGATAGTCAGGTATTTATATTATGTGTGGTGGTTGGGCACAATCAATAAAGATGATCTTATTATTCTGCAGCACCTCAACCGTGACACCATCTTCAAGTTCTGTACTTTCTTTCTGCTGGTGGCACTGGCTTGTCAGCAGTGGCTCTACGTGTAAGTGCCTTCTCTGTGTATGATGTAACGTACGTTCTGTATGTCTGTGATGTAATATGGGTTCTGTATGTCTGAGTCAGGTAACAAAGTTTCTGTATGTTTGTGTGATGTAACATGGGTTCTGTATGTCTGATGTGTCATAGGTTCTGTATGAGTGAGTACCATGGGTTGTATATGTGTGTGATGTCTTATGGGTTCTGTATATGTGTGTGATGTATCATGGGTTCTGTATGTCTGATGTGTCATAGGTTCTGTATGAGTGAGTACCATGGGTTGTATATGTGTATGATGTCTTATGGGTTCTGTATATGTGTGTGATGTATCATGGGTTCTGTATGTCTGATGTGTCATAGGTTCTGTATGAGTGAGTACCATGGGTCGTATATGTGTGTGATGTATCATGGGTTCCGTATATGTGTGTGATGTATCATGAGTTCTGTATATGTGCATGATGTAACATATGCTCTGTATATGTGTGTGATGTACCATAGTTATGAGTTATATTATCTTCACAGCACTCCGGACACATCCATAGGCGCTCAGATTCCCCTCTCAAAATATTCATCAGCGTCGTGCGGTTAATACCATAGGTTTCTTGTGATGTACCATAGGTTCTGAATGTGTATGATGTATCACAGGTTCTAAATGTGTGTGGTGTATCATAGGTTCTCTCTCTCTCTCTTTCTCTCTCTCTCTCTCTCTCTCTCTCTCTCTCTCTCTGTGTGTGTGTGTGTGCGTGCGCGCGCGCGCGCGAGAGAGAGAGAGAGAGAGAGAGAGAGAGAGAGAGAGAGAGAGAGAGAGAGAGAGAGATGTAACATAGGTACTATATATGCGTTATGTATCATAGGTTCCATACATGCATGATGTATCATTAGTTCCTTGTGTGTGTAATGTATCATAGGTTTTTTATGTGTGTAATGTATCATAGGTTCTTTATGTGTGTAATGTATCATAGGTTCCTTATGTGTGTAATGTATCATAGGTTCCTTATGTGTGTAATGTATCATAGGTTCCTTATGTGTGTAATGTATCATAGGTTCCTTATGTGTGTGATACAATAGGTTTGTCATGTGTGTAATGTATCATTAGTTAGTTCCTTATGTGTGTGATTTACCATAGGTTCCTTATGTGTGTAGTGTATCATTAGTTTCTTATGTGTGTAATGTATCATATTTTCCTTATGTGTGTAATGTATCATTAGTTCTTTTTGTGTGTAATGTATCATAGGTTCATTATGTGTGTGATTTACCATAGGTTTCTTATGTGTGTAATGTATCATTATTTCTTTTTGTGTGTAATGTATCATAGCTTCCTTAAATGTGTGATTTACCATAGGTTCCTTATGTGTGTAATGTATCATTAGTTCCTTATGTGTGTGATTTACCATAGTTTCTATGTATGTGTGTGATGTATACGGGCTCCATATATGTGTGCGATATATCTTAGGGTCCATTTATGTGTGTGATGTATTATGGGTTCTGTGTGTGTGTGTGTGTGTGAGATCGCTGGCAGACACTCACTCAGATGTTCTGTGTGTGTGTGTGATCGCTGGCAGACACTCACTCAGATGTTCTGTGTGTCTGCAGACTTTGTGAGAGACTGCCCAAGACCAGCAGTCTCAGCGAGAAGGCAGCATCTTTACGGACAGACAGTGCGCAGCCGCCGCTACTGCAGCAGCAGCAGGACAAGAAGATGTTGCTGGATGATGAAGAGGAGATGGTTTAAGTCTGCTGGTGGCCTTGTGTTGGATCTAAACAAATGGTCATGTTTGACCATTAGCTGGTCACCCAGCACTGGTTTGTTTGATTCCGGGAGAAATATTTGATATCATTTGTTCATAGATGACAGTGTCTCAGTGAGACTTCTTTTTTATCAAGGGTAAACCATGTTTCTTGTGTTTGATACAAATGGTTGTTTCAGGTGTACATGTACAAGGTGTTGTCATGGCTGATTCACTGGCTCTGTCATAGGCCACGGCCCATGTATGGTTACCCACTCCCCATGTGTGGTGACCCACTCCCCATGTGTGCTGACCAACTCCCTATGTGTGGTGACCCCACTCCCCATGTGTGGTGACCCATTCCCCATGTGTGGTGACCCCACTCCCTATGTGTCGTGACCCCACTCCCTGATATATCTTTGCTGTTTGTTTTATCTGTTACAGTTTTAGTAGTCCTTTCATTTTTTTCATTTACCAATGACACTCTGGTCTTTGTTACACAGACTCGGATATGAGATCAAGCCTGTGTTTATGTGTCCTCAATTAAGATTAGGAAAAACAAATTGTTGGTTGTTTGTCCACATCTGGACTTTAGTCTTATTCCAGAACTTGAGTTTTGAGTGCAAATTAATTTTACAAATCTGACTATTGGTTCCTTGGCTCTCAAAGAATTCCCGTATCCATAGGGGGGCTGAGTGGTCTCAAGGTATGGCATCCTCGAGTGCTGGAGGTTTCAGGTTGAAACCCCGGTGAAGGCTGGACTTGTAATAATTTCTCCTAGTCTCTCGGTAGTAAGACCGGATGCCCGTGTGTATTGTTGCACAGATTTAAATAATCCCTTGGCAGTTGAAATCGAAAAATAGTAGCCTAACAGAGCTGCCTGGGCAAAATTTTGAGTTAAAAATCTACCCAAAATATTTAGAGCCTCGCCGGTGCAAGGGAGTTCGTGCACTGTGCTGAGATTCTTTAGACTCAAGCTTGAGTTAGAAGTAGAACGGAGCACTTATGGGTTACACCCGTGTGCCATGATGTTGATCCATTAAATAAACAAACAAACTCCCACATTGAAGGCAACAGCCCTAATTTATTACATGCTTGTTTTTTTCCCCAAATGAGATTCAGAACCCACACAGGGATGTCCTTAATAAGTTAAGGGATAGAAACAGTGGGACATGGTCCCAGTAAGGGGAAACAGACCGTGGGACATGGTCCCAGTAAGGGGAAACAGACAGTGGGACATGGTCCCAGTAAGGGGAAACAGATAGTGGGACATGTTCTAACTAAGGGGAAACAGATAGTGGGACATGGTCCCAGTAAGGGGAAACAGACCGTGGGACATGGTCCCAGTAAGGGGAAACAGATAGTGGGACATGGTCCCAGTAAGGGGAAACAGACCGTGGGACATGGTCCCAGTAAGGGGAAACAGACAGTGGGACATGGTCCCAGTAAGGGGAAACAGACCGTGGGACATGGTCCCAGTAAGGGGAAACAGACAGTGGGACATGGTCCCAGTAAGGGGAAACAGACCGTGGGACATGGTCCCAGTAAGGGGAAACAGACCGTGGGACATGGTCCCAGTAAGGGGAAACAGACCGTGGGACATGGTCCCAGTAAGGGGAAACAGACCGTGGGACATGGTCCCAGTAAGGGGAAACAGATAGTGGGACATGGTCCCAGTAAGGGGAAACAGATAGTGGGACATGGTCCCAGTAAGGGGAAACAGATAGTGGGACATGGTCCCAGTAAGGGGAAACAGACAGTGGGACATGGTCCCAGTAAGGGGAAACAGACAGTGGGACATGGTCCCAGTAAGGGGAAACAGATAGTGGGACATGGTCCCAGTAAGGGGAAACAGACAGTGGGACATGGTCCCAGTAAGGGGAAACAGATAGTGGGACATGGTCCCAGTAAGGGGAAACAGACCGTGGGACATGTTCTCACGAAGGGAAAGCAGACAGTGGGACATGTTCTAACTAAGGGGAAACAGACCGTGGGACATGTTCTCACGAAGGGAAAGCAGACAGTGGGACATGTTCTAACTAAGGGGAAACAGATAGTGGAACATGTTCTCAGTAAGGGGAAACAGATAGTGGGACATGTTCTAACTAAGGGGAAACAGATAGTGGGACATGGTCCCAGTAAGGGGAAACAGACCGTGGCACATGTTCTCACGAAGGGAAAGCAGACAGTGGGACATGTTCTAACTAAGGGGAAACAGATAGTGGAACATGTTCTCAGTAAGGGGAAACAGATAGTGGGACATGTTCTAACTAAGGGGAAACAGATAGTGGAACATGTTCTCAGTAAGGGGAAACAGACAGTGGGACATGTTCTAACTAAGGGGAAACAGATAGTGGAACATGTTCTCAGTAAGGGGAAACAGACAGTGGGACATGTTCTAACTAAGGGGAAACAGATAGTGGAACATGTTCTCAGTAAGGGGAAACAGACAGTGGGACATGTTCTAACTAAGGGGAAACAGATAGTGGAACATGTTCTCAGTAAGGGGAAACAGACAGTGGGACATGTTCTAACTAAGGGGAAACAGATAGTGGAACATGTTCTCAGTAAGGGGAAACAGATAGTGGAACATGTTCTCACTAAGGGGAAAACAGACCGTGGGACATGTTCTCAGTAAGGGGAAATAGATAGTGGGACATGTCCTCAGAGGCTGCATGGCCATTATCCACCCACATGAAAAAGTTTATTGATGGGAGAGAAGCCTGACACAGCATGATTGAGGGCATGTTTGTGTCTCTGAGAATGGATGCAGTTCTGCAGGTAGTATCTTCATATTCCCAGTCTTTTAAATGTGGTGCATAGCCATGTGTTACTGATGCCAATCAGCTCTTTGTATTGCTAATGCTGTTGGGTGTAGAGCATCTTGTTGACCTTGTGAGATCAGCCCAGCATCAGATGTCCTGCTTCTTATCAAATTAAAACTGCTTTGTAATATCTAGCGATACATTCCATGGGCAGGGTGTGTGTACTTGCGTGTGTGCGTGTTTGACATTCCATAGTTGTCATCAGATTATCTACTTGTGATCTCATAAACCATATACGTGACCCCATTCCCCTATCCTCGCCTTTTTTGTTTTTTGCAAAATATACATTTGTGTGAGTGTGCTGTGTTGTCAGGCCATCTGTGTAGACCGGCAGTTCTCAATCTGTGGGTTGCAACCCATTTTGGACATCGGACAACCCTTTCACAGGGGTCGCCTAAGACTATCAGAAGACGCATTTTTACTGATGTTATGAAGTAGCACCGAAGATAATTTTATGGTTGGGGGTCACCACAGCATGAGGAACTGTATTAGAGGGTCCCAGCATTAAGAAGGTTGAGAATCAATCTATAGACAGTAGATTATACCTTTATTGATTGATATTTCTTAAGTAGTGTCACTAAACCTCACTAGTGCCAACACTAAACTTACGTTATCATCCTCAGTAAAGTTACTCTTTCATCCTCACTACGGATACATTATTATCCTCTGTAAAGTTACTCTACTGTCCTAGCTAAACATACGTTATCGACCTCCCTAAAGTTATTCTGCTGTCCTCACTAAACATATGTTATTGTCCTCCCTTAAGTTACTCTACTGTCCTCACTAAACATACGTTATCGTCCTCTCTAAAGTTACTCTTTTGTCCTCACTAAACATATGTTATCGTCCTCCCTAAAGTTACTCTACTGTCCTCGCTAAACATACGTTATCGTCCTTCCTAAAGTTACTCTACTGTCCTCACGAAACATACATTATCGTCCTTCCTAAAGTTACTCTACTGTCCTCACGAAAGATACGCTATCGTCCTCTCTAAAGTTACTCTACTGTCCTCACAAAACATACGCTATCGTCCTCTCTAAAGTTACTCTACTGTCCTCACAAAACATACGTTGTCGTCTTCCTTAAGGTTACTCTGTTGTCCTCATTAAACATGCATTATTGTCCTATCTAATGTTACTCTGTGAATAAAGTTCTGACCGGGGCCGTCGGTAGGGATAGGCCTCACTGCTGTCATCAGCTTGACGTGACGTCGCCGCCGGGAGCTAACAAGATGTTCCGTTTTCACTCTGACAGTCCCGTTTTTTTCGTTGTGTTCCTGGCCGTCCCCTGAGTACTAGCCCACAAAAATTATTGCAATAAGCTCAAAGCTATTCATCCAGCAGCCCACGGATTAAATCTGGTCCACCGAGGCCTAACGAATGGCCCACGGATCACTGCTGGTTGTATTGAATTAATGGTCTTTCTACGCTGACCTCCTACCACTGGCCCATAACGATCCCTGATTTAACAATGTTGGCCCCTGAGTAAACTTAAATTGACTAACTCAGTTGAACAGCCCTGGATATAGGTATTCACAATATGACATAGAAACAGAAAGCACAACAGAAACTATTTACATATTCACAATATGACATAGAAACAGAAAGCACAACAGAAACTATTTACATATTCACAATATGACATAGAAACAGAAAGCACAACAGAAACTATTTACATATTCACAATATGACATAGAAACAGAAAGCACAACAGAAACTATTTACATATTCACAATATGACATAGAAACAGAAAGCACAACAGAAACTATTTACATATTCACAATATGACATAGAAACAGAAAGCACAACAGAAACTATTTACATATTCACAATATGACATAGAAACAGAAAGCACAACAGAAACTATTTACATATTCACAATATGACATAGAAACAGAAAGCACAACAGAAACTATTTACATATTCACAATATGACATAGAAACAGAAAGCACAACAGAAACTACTCACATATTCACAATATGACATAGAAACAGAAATCACAACAGAAACTACTCACATATTCACAATATGACATAGAAACAGAAAGCACAACAGAAACTACTCACATATTCACAATATGACATAGAAACAGAAAGCACAACAGAAACTACTCACATATTCACAATATGACATAGAAACAGAAAGCACAACAGAAACTACTCACATATTCACAATATGACATAGAAACAGAAAGCACAACAGAAACTACTCACATATTCACAATATGACATAGAAACAGAAAGCACAACAAAAACTACTCACATATTCACAATATGATATAGAAACAGAAAGCACAACAGAAACTACTCACATATTCACAATATGACATAGAAACAGAAAGCACAACAGAAACTACTTACCATGTAGCTGTCCAAATTGTAGTCACATAATCCATGTAAATCCATTACTGGGTGAATTGAACCAGTTTTATTTTCTTGGATAATTTATCCAGCAATGGTTGCATCGCTTTGTATTTTTCTATAGTTCTAAAAAACATTTGCCAGAGATGCACACAACTATGACGCCTTGTGTTTTTAAACCAGGTTAACAGTTGCAGCTGCTCTGCAAGAAAGTTTATTTGTGTGTCAGTTACTTCATCAACTGTCTCCTTTGAAGTCCATTGTTGCTCTGCAGCACTTTTTAAAATAATTCCTGCTTCTCCCACTAAATCTAAAGACAGAAAATCCACCCATACTTTGGACAGATACCCTGATGACTCTTGGAGTTACTCTCGGCACTAGACACACATTTTAGACAGAAAATCCACCCATACTTTGGACAGATACCCTGATGTCTCTTGGAGTTACTCTCGGCACTAGACACACATTTTAGACAGAAAATCCACCATACTTTGGACAGATACCCTGATGTCTCTTGGAGTTACTCTCGGCACTAGACACATTTTAGACAGAAAATTCACCATACTTTGGACAGATACCCTGATGTCTCTTGGAGTTACTCTCGGCACTAGACACACATTTTAGACAGAAAATCCACCCATACTTTGGACAGATACCCTGATGTCTCTTGGAGTTACTCTCGGCACTAGACACACATTTTAGACAGAAAATCCACCCATATTTTGGACAGATACCCTGATGTCTCTTGGAGTTACTCTCGGCACTAGACACACATTTTAGACAGAAAATCCACCCATACTTTGGACAGATACTCTGATGTCTCTTGGAGTTACTCTCGGCATAAGACTTCTCTAACTCCCAGACTGGAAACATCTGCACATGTTTTCAGAAATAAACTTGAAATATTTGTGACAACTGATACACTTGATGGGAAACAAACAAGAGGAAGACACAGATGAGCACAACTTGGACATATAGAATAAATGGGACAAGAACACAGAGCTGAGAATGGTGATCTTGTGTGCCCTAAGGCTCACAGACATGGCAAATGATAATTTGTGATGTTACACGTACACCGGATGGCAGTTTTACACAGCTATATTTATTGTTGAGCGAGCTCTTTTTTTTTATCTTGCTTTATGTATAAAGTGAATTATTTTGTGTTATATTGCTTATGTACTCTAGAGTGCTATATATTTTTGTTGAGCAAACTGTTTTTTTTTTTTTATTCAATTGTTATGTATTATTATAATGTTGTGTGTTGCTTTCATCAATCATTGACTGTTTTATTAGAAGTGACTTACAGACTCTGAGATCTGTCCCTCGGTTTGTTGGTTGTCCTCTGCCTGTTTGCTTGGCCAGTGTTTGTTTTCTCTGTGAATAACTGTTTATGATGTCATGTTTGTGATGTCAGGTGATGTCTGTGTTGTAGTGAAATGTGATCTGCTGTCATGTAATGTTTGTGTTCTGCTGTCATTTGATGTTTATGTTGTGATGTGATGTTTGTATTATGATGGCATGTGATGTTTGTAGTGTGCTGTCATGTGAAATGCTGTCATGTGATGTTGGTGTTGTTTTGTCATGGGATGTGATGTCATGTGTTGTGATGGTATGTGATGTTTGTTTTGTGGTGGCTTGGGATAATCATTGATGCCTGTTGTGATGTCATGTCATGTTTGTGATGTCATTGGATGTTTGTGATGCGATGTGCTGTTTGGCGTGTGTGTTTGTGTGTGGTAATGTAAGGGCACTTCTCTTCTGTTTGACATATATTTTGGGGCTCTCATTAGAGTAGTTTAAATTTTCTACTGAGTTCAAGAGTTGACTCACAGATGTGAGCTTTTACCGACTGAAAACAGGGGAGGGGTTGTTGTAGTAAAATGCGGTCAGCAGAGGAGTTGTAGCAAAGTGTGGTCAGGGGAGGGGTTGTTGTTGCAAAGTGTGATCAGGGGAGGGGTTGTTGTAGCAAAGTGTGATCAGGGGAGGGGTTGTTGTAGCAAAGTGTGATCAGGGGAGGGGTTGTTGTTGCAAAGTGTGATCAGGGGAGGGGTTGTTGTTGCAAAGTGTGATCAGGGGAGGGGTTGTTGTAGCAAAGTGTGATCAGCAGTCTTGTCGTGGAAGGAGATGGATTATGGAGCAGAGTGGGTGGGTGGTGGTCCAGAATGAGTGGTTGTTGGGACAGATGGGTGGTGGTTGGTGCAGATGGGTGGTGGTTGGTGCAGGTGGGTGGTGGTTGGTGCAGATAGGTGGTTGATGGTGCAGAAGGGTGGTTGTTGGCACAGATGAGTAGTTGATGGTGCAGAATGAGTGGTTGTTGGAGCAGATGAGTAGTTGATGGTGCAGAATGAGTGGTTGGTGGAGCAGATGGGTGGTTGTTGGTGCAGATGGGTGGTTGTTGGTGCAGAATGAGTATGAGTGGTTGGTGGAGCAAATAGGTGGTTTTTGGTGCAGAATGAGTATGAGTGGTTGGTGGAGCAAATGGGTGGTTTTTGGTGCAGTTGAGTGGTTGTTGGTGCAAAATGAGGGATTTATGAAAGAAAACAAGCAACAGATCTGTGTGCAGACATGAAGACAAGTGAAACTCTTGCTGTCTCACTATGTCCTATGCCTGCCAGGTGGGACTTTCTTTGCCTCACTATGTCCCATGCCTGCCAGGTGGGACTGTCTCCTGTGTCTGACAGGTAGAAACTCATCCATGACATTATATCAGTGGTATTTTGTATACAGAAATTAGCGCTGTTGAACTGAAAGAAATTGAGAAGATTTTTAGAATACTCTGGACCAAGAAAATAATCTACATACCTCCTACCAGATCTTGGAATTGAAGAAAACTGGTTGATAACAAGCATCCACATATGTTCTGGTGCTATTACAGGCAGCTGGTCAGTTTTGGCACACCTATGTTCTGTTGATATTACAGGCAGCTGATCAGTTTTGGACGCATATGTTCTGTTGATATTACAGGCAGCTGGTCAGTTTTGGCACACATATGTTCTGTTGCTATTACAGGCAGCTGGTCAGTTTTGGCACATATATGTTCTGTTGCTATTACAGGCAGCTGGTCAGTTTTGGCGCACAGTTCTGTTGCTATTACAGGCAGCTGGTCAGTTATGGCACACATATGTTCTGTTGCACTTACAGGCAGCTGGTCAGTTTTGGCACACATATGTTCTGTTGCTATTACAGGCAGCTGGTCAGTTTTGGCACACATATGGAGTTCTGTTGCTATTACAGGCAGCTGGTCAGTTTTGGCACACATATGGAGTTCTGTTGCTATTACAGGCAGCTGGTCAGTTTTGGCACACATATGGAGTTCTGCTGCTAATACAGGCAGCTGGTCAGTTTTGGCACACATATGGAGTTCTGTTGCTATTACAGGCAACTGGTCAGTTTTGGCACACATATGGAGTTCTGTTGCTATTACAGGCTGCTGGTCAGTTTTGGTAGAAATATTTTCTGTTGCTATTACAGGCAGCTGGTCAGTTTTGGCACACATATGGAGTTCTGTTGCTATTACAGGCAGCTGGTCAGTTTTGGCACACATATGGAGTTCTGTTGCTATTACAGGCAGCTGCATGTGGTATCTAACATCAGTGCAGGATGATGTAATGAGAGAATTGGTCATATCTTTATTTGATTCTCTGAATTTATTTATACACTATTTATCACTTATATATTCTGCATCTGTGGCTTAAGCATTGTGAACACGCTTCATGATGTGGTGGTGCCGGGTTCGATCCCAGCTGTGGACGTTTTGTCTTGCCTTGGTTTTGACAACAGTACCAAAAGCTGACTGTTCAAAGCAATGGCAAACTACTCAACATAAAATTTGTCTTAAAAAACCACAACAGCCCAGAAATGTTGGGGTTGGTTCTGCAAAGAATACACAACTAACATTTTACAGATTCTACAAGGTATGCCATTTTTTAAATATATTTAAGTTTTTTCAAATTTTAATTTTTAGAATGAGTAATTTCTAGCACCAAACAGGATTTTCTCGTTGTGACAGCTCAAGGCCATGTTTTTCTTGAAAGCATTTGTTTGTTGTGGTCGAGTGAGTGTAGTTGATTAAGATAGTACTGCAGTGCAGACCTATTAAGGCGATCTCAGATGTGGCAATATTCTTTTGTGAAGAACAGTTGGTTTATCTCTGGCAATTTTTCTTGCTTGAACTCCTGTCTGGATAGGAGGAATTTCCAATAAGCAGAACCATTTCTTGGGTCCCCAGTGAATTATTCTTATCAGATCTGCACTGTATATGACATGTGTATATCTCTCCCTTTCTCTCTCTCTCTATACACACGCGCACACACACACACACACAAAGAGAGAGAGAGAGAGAGAGGAGGTACACGTGTATAAATGTAAGTTCACAAGCTTGTGGCATGTTCATATCACCCATTATGAGGGATTAATTTATTCTGGTACATTTTAGAATTTATAAAGAAAATTATCAAAAACTAGAGTTTTCTTATTCTTTTAAGATATTGGTGTTTTGTGTGTGGGTGGCTCGTATTTGTACAGCAAGATTTTGTTAATATGAACTTGCTTAAAGCGACCATTCAGTTAACATGAACAAAATGTTGGTTGCAGAATGGATGTATTGCTATTATGAATGAGCAGGTCCTTTTATAGCAACATTTCTTTTAACACAACCTCTGGATTTCTCATATAGTTATAGCACATCTATGGCGATTGCAGCTGAAGGCCTAGAAAAGAATCCGTTACTTTGCTTTGATTTGATTTGTTAGCACCTTGGAATTCCTTTTAATTTTTTCGCACTGTAAAACTTTGGACTAAAATGACCTTTTTCTAAATGTAGTTAAAAACAAATGTGTTCTTGTAGCTCTTTGATAATCTTCCCTAAAAAACTAAAGGAAGAAGAGGAACAGAAGAAACAAGGGACATTGAGTCTTGGATGGTTTATTTTGACATCCAAGGGGTTGAACCCTTGACTACCAAACAGACAGGCAATCATGTAGTCCACAGCTACATGGCAGCCGTCAAATCACATAAATAATTTATACTAACGTTTGTTATTAAGTTTTGTGTGTGCATCATTTTGTTTTAAGTGAGGGAATTAATAACCTTATTTAAATGGAACACAGCATTAACTGCATTACTTCCCTTAACCACGATAAACATGGTTGTGTTAACAGCCACAGGACATTACTATGATGTAGTGATGATATCACAAATAAAAAAAGGGTAGTATTCAAGAGTCTGCCTGCAATAACTGGCATCACAGAGATTCCCTGAGAGATTTCCTGTCAGCTTCCATTCATGACCGTGGCTGCTGTATGTTCTAGGGGTGGGAGATTTCCTGTTGGCTTCCATTCATGGCCGTGGCTGCTGTATGTTCTAGGGGTGGGAGATTTCCTGTCGGCTTCCATTCATGGCCAAGGCTGCTGTATGTTCTAGGGGTGTCAGCATATGCGTTTCTTCCTACACACAGTGTGGAAAATTGTTTCAGGCCCGACACGACCACATTGAGTGTTTCTTTCTTGTTGTTTTGTTTGTTTGTATGGGGGGGGGGGGGGGGGGGAGGGGGGGGGGCAGAAAAGTGACTTTGGTCTGCTTGTCGCTCATTAATGCTAACAATTTCAGGAAATTCATGTGGTACTACAAGTCACAGAGTAAGGCTGCAGTGGATAGCGATGAAGAGCAAAGGCAAAAAGCTGTAACACTCATATTAGCGTCGGCCGCTGACGTGGAAAATAGAATTATAACAGCATTGAGGGAAAAAAAATCACAACGTGACAACCCTAGAACATATTGCAGCCCATGGGAATGGCAACGACCATGAATGGGCGCTGACAGGAAATCTCGCTCTTTGGTGAGACATGGGCTCATGCAGGCAAACGTAATAAATACCCAAAATTTTTTTTGCCTGAAACAGTATTTCAATATTTTCTTTGAAAATACAGTCATATCCACCATGCAGTTACCACAGAGAGCAGATCTTCTGTGTTCTTCTGGAGATATGTAACTGAGTTGTGCCCATTTACAGCATGGCTGTGATATTTCGGCTGACATCCGACTTCTGCAGGCAACTGTTGACCGGATTAACCTTTCGGGGTACCAGATCTCAGTGGACACACTGAGAACATACAGTCTCAGTGGCCACTGTTCAAACCTTCAGGTCATTAAAAAAAATTACCTATAAATAAAAGAAACAAACACCTTTCTCTCAGGGCGGCAGAGTTAATGAAGTTTTCTTGTATGTTGAATAATAGAATTGTCTGCGCTGTGTAGGTGTGTAAATTCAATAATATGAATGGCTTATGACAGAAGTGACATACAGGATGTAAGACAGGGGACATAAATGAATGGTACACACAAGAAGATATGGTAGTAGAACTGGTGACATCTCAGAAACCACTCAAAGTTGCAGGAACCATTGCTTGAACGTACGGAGTCATAAGCCTCAGGAACAAAGAGCATTTTCTAGTACGTCTGTCCATTTATTGGTTATTTATTCTAATGCAGCAACAAACAACATCATATATCAACTGTTCTGGCTCTTCCTGTACCAACTACCACAACTTACATTCCTTCTCTACCATCTTCCACAGCTTACAATCCTTCTGTACCAGCTCCCACAACTTACAATCATTCTGTACCAGCTCTCACAACTTAAATCCTTCTGTACCAGCTCCCACAACTTACAATCCTTCTGTACTAACTCCCACAACTTACAATCCTTCTGTACCAACGCCCACAACTTACAATCTTTCTGTACCAGCTCCCACAACTTACAATCCTTCTGTACCAACGCCCACAACTTACAATCCTTCTGTACCAGCTCCCACAGCTTACAATCCTTCTGTACCAGCTCCCACAACTTACAATCATTCTCTACCATCTTCCACAGCTTACAATCCTTCTGTACTAACTCCCACAACTTACAATCCTTCTGTACCAACGCCCACAACTTACAATCTTTCTGTACCAGCTCCCACAGCTTACAATCCTTCTGTACTAACTCCCACAACTTACAATCCTTCTGTACCAGCTCCCACAGCTTACAATCCTTCTGTACCAGCTCCCACAACTTACAATCATTCTCTACCATCTTCCACAGCTTACAATCCTTCTGTACCAGCTCCCACAACTTACAATCCTTCTGTACCAATGCCCACAACTTACAATCTTTCTGTACCAGCTCCCACAGCTTACAATCCTTCTGTACTAACTCCCACAACTTACAATCCTTCTGTACCAACTCCCACAGTTTACAATCCTTCTGTACCAGCTCCTACTACTTACAATCCTCAGTCAACCAACAGCCAAGTAACAACTCTCATGTGCATTATACAATCATGGACTCCTTATCATTCTTTACATAACATCAATCATTCTGCACACCATCTTGTTTTATAATTCAAGGAGCATCAAGTAACAAAATAATTCTCGTTTTTAAATAATTCTGCATAAATATTTTCAGACAATCAGTCACTCTACAATGAGGGAAGTAAACTGCAAGACCATTTGAACAGGCCAAGTTCAACATACAGAAGATATAACATGAAAGTAAATACTACTAAAACTGAATTAATGCAAGTCCAATATAGCTGTATACTGAGCTACTGATTCATGTATTGTGAGGGATATACTGAGCCAGTGAAAAACTGAGCCACCGATTCACATGTCTTCTTCTTCTTCTTCTGCCTTTCTATTCCCCAATGGAGCATAGGCCCTCAACCAACTCACGCCAAGTCGTTCTATCCTTCGCCATGGCATGGAGCTCTCCCCATCTTTCTAACTTCATTCTCCAGCTCTCTTCTCCATGTGTTTTTTGGCCTTCCTTTATTCCTATGCCCCTGTGGGTTCCAATGCAAAGACATTCTAGTTATGCTGTTCTCTTGTTTTCTCAGTGTGTGTCCTATCCAACGCCAGTCTTTTTTTTCACCTCTTGGTTCACTGGAGCCTGTTTAGTTCTCTCCCAAAGTTCTACATTAGTTATTATATCATACCATTTAATTCCCTCTATTCTACGCAGGCACCAGTTAATGAATGTATGTAATTTATTAGTAATTGCCTTGGTTGTTCTCCATGTTTCCGCCCCATACAATAGCACTGATTTGACATTAGAATTAAAAATTTTTAGTTTTGTATTTCTTTTAATTTCTTTTGACCTCCACAAATTCCCTAGTGCTATGAAAGCCCCTCTTGCCTTTTGTATTCTTATTTTAATATCTCTATCAGTTCCTCCATCTTTATCTACATTACTGCCCAAATAGGTGTACAACTCCACGTCTTGGAGTGGGGTGCCATTAAGATAAACCACATTACCATTTGCCTGATTTATTCTTTTTATCTTTGTCTTTCCTTTTTGGATTTTCAGACCAAGCTGATGTGATCTCGCATCAAGTATATTTAATTTATCTTGCATCTGATTCCGTGAATGGGACAAAAAAGCAACATCATCAGCGAAGTCCAGATCATCAAGCTCCAGTGATAAACTGAGATAGTTTCACATACAGTGAGTGATAAAGTGAGCCAGTGATAAACTGAGATAGTGACTCACATACAGTGAGTGATAAAGTGAGCCAGTGATAAACTGAGATAGTGATTCACATAGAGTGATAAAGTGAGCCAGTGATAAACTGAGATAGTGATTCA